TGTTCGAAGTGAGGCCATCCCGACCTCGCCCGCTTCAGTGCCGGCGGTGCGGACGCTATGGGCATATCGCCGTCACTTGCCGAGGACCAGAGCGGTGCCTGCGATGTGGTGGCCACCATGGGAAAGACGCCAACTGCACCAACAAATTAAGATGCCTGCACTGCGGCAGGCCACATTCAGCTGATTCCGCAGACTGTCAGCTCTGGCAAAGAGAGCGGCGCCTGGCCACCATCAAGGCATCAGCTCCCACCTACCTGCCTCACCGCGAGGCTCAAGCAGTCTTGCGGGCAAGCCCTAGTGTAACTGATAGTCCTCAGCTGAAGCAGACCACGGGCAAGAGCTATGCTGCCGCAGTGGGATCACCATCCAAGATGACGGTCAGCTCGACCCATCCAGGCCAGACAGGCGTACAACAACGGGGCCCTTCGGCTGGTCTCAAGCACCCAGACTCTACCACGACTCGTCCACCCGCGAAGGTACCTTCCCAGCCTCGTGTGGACCAGGAAAATGCAAACCTGAGGCTCCTGTTAAGAGCAGTTGCGGACCTGCTGCCTCCTGAAAACCAGCTGCGCTCCATCTGCCTTCAGGCAGGTGGCGCGCACCCTCATAGCAGCCACCATGGCTGACACTCATCCGCATGCTGCAGAGAACCACCGCCGCCGCCGCCCGTGTGTGCTTCAATGGAACGCTCACTCGTTGCGGCGGCGGCATGCAGACCTCTCCTCACATCTCCTGCAGAGCGAGTATGATGTGCTTGCTTTGCAGGAAGTGTACGTAGCAGCGACCGACTTGCGACTTCCCGGATACATCGGTTACCAAAGTATCACGTCGTGTACTCTAGACACGTGCCAGGACGCGCCGTGCATAGCGAGTGCACATCCCCAGGGTCGACCACGTTGTGCAGTGTACGTGCGACGAGAACTACCACATGTGCACATAAACGTGGCTGATGTCACTGGAGGGGCTCTTGAGTGTTGTGCCGTGACGGTGCGGCTTCGCGGTGTGGACACGACAGTGGCCTCTGTGTATGTGCGACCTGGACAGCGGTGGGACGCCTCCATGCTGTTACAGCTCACGGCTAAATTCGGAAGAGACTACCTCATATGTGGGGACATGAATGCTCATCACACCATGTGGGGGAGTAGCACCTGCTCCTCTCGAGGAAGGGATCTGGTGGACGTTATCCATCAACTGGGCCTACAAGTTTTGAACACCGGATCCTTCACTTTCGTCCGCAGAACAGCACGACCGTCATGCTCCGCCATTGACGTCACCTTGGCCAGTGAAGGGGACCGGTACGATTGGGCAGTGGAGCCTGACTCCTGGGGTTCAGACCACCTGCCGATCGTCATCTCACCTGTGGGCGGAAAGATCCCAAGGAGGAGGCTGTCTAGTACGATCGATTGGCGGGCTTTTCGAAGGCAGCTTCGAGACGTCCCAGAGGATCAGGATTTCCTGAATCTGGTAGCAGTGGCAGCGCAGGCGGCAACTATCCAGACCAGGGTGCCAGAGCACCACCCTGTGCCAGACCTCCATCACTTGAACTTACGGGCTGCGAGGCGCAGGGCTGAGAGAAGGTACCTAAAATCCCATGACCCAGCTCAACGTACACTCTTCAATCGTGTGGATGCGGTATGTCGGCGACATGCCAACCGTCGCAGGCGGCAAAGCTGGCAAGGCATCTGCCTCTCCCTGAGTCAGGCAAGAGGTGGCGCAAAAGCATGGCGACTTCTACGATCCCTCGTCACTGGACCAATGGTGCGGCAACCCGTCATTGCGGTGGCCATCTACTTAGGCATTAGTGAAAAAGAACTGGCAGAGCGACTGGCCGATCGCTTCACAGAACTCCCACCAGCCAATCCTTCAGCCCTCATCGCCACGCCTGCTCCCAAGCCACCGCAAGGTCATCACCCTGCCTGGACGGCCAGCCAGATCGCATCTCTGTGTCAGGACCCTATTTTCGAACACGAACTGAACGTTGCTCTAGCCAGAACCAAGCGCCGCAGTTCCCCTGGTGCCGACGGCATCACATACCAGATGCTGCGCAACCTGGATATGGCCTCACGACGACACCTGTTGAGGACTTTTAATGAAATATGGCAGAGCGGCAACCTACCTGAAGCCTGGCTGACCGCTGTTGTGGTGCCGATCCGGAAACCTCGCCGCCCTTGTGCCGCCATTACGTCCTACAGACCCGTTTCTCTCACCTCTGCTGCCTGCAAGCTCATGGAAGCCATAGCACTGGCACGCCTAAATTGGATTGCGGGGGCAAAGGATTTCCTACCAGAACAGCAGACGGGCTTCCGACGCCACCGATGCACAGCAGACTCGATCGCGGACGTCGTCTCTACCTTGGAGGAGGCCAAGCGCAACGGCGAAGTGGCCCTCCTCGTCCTGCTGGATGTACAGAGCGCTTTTGACAGCTTGCCTCACATAGCGATAGAGAGTGCTTTGGACACACTCGGCATCGTGAGCTGCCTACGTACCTTTATCAGTGCCTTTCTGGCAAAACGCACCCTCCGGGTTAGAGTACGACGCGCGCTCAGCGATCCACGGCCAGTGACAGCAGGCGTTCCACAAGGTTCCGTCCTGAGCCCCTTTCTGTTCAACCTGGTGCTAGCGGGGCTGCCGACCGCGATGCCCGCAGACAAGCGTTACCCCACGCAGTGCTCCTTGTACGCAGACGATGTGGCACTGTGGGTTAAGGGGCCTAGGCAAAACTTCACGGCCATAAGGCGTTCCCTGCAGCGCTCCTTGGATGCCGTCGTCTCTTTCTTCAAGGCAATCGGACTGAACGTTTCGCCCACGAAGACGGAGGCACTGCTGGTTCACCCCAGAGCCACTGCGCGGAGGGCCGTCCGAAGGCTTGTGCTAGGTGACCGACCTATCCCGTGGAGCGATGCAGTGACGTACCTGGGGCTAAGGATCGACCACCGCCTTACCTGGATACCAGCCGTTAAGCTCGCCGTCCTCAAGGCCACCAGGGTCGAGACTGCCGTAAGCAAACTGCTCAGCAGGGGCCAAGGGTGCACCTCACGGCTGGCTCTAAGACTCTACGAAGGGGCTGCAACGACAGCGCAAACTTATGCACTGCCCTTGGTGCAGCTAGCGCCACACCGCAAGGAGCAACTGGAGCGGCAACATCGCATGGCAATTCGGCGCTTCATGGGACTTCCCCGACAGTCACCCATAGCTGCAACCCTGGCGGAGGCCCAGACCTGGCCTCTGTCACTCTTGATGCTACGACAGGCGCTGCATCACGTGGATCGCCTTCACAGGGCCCTCGGGGGCGCTGCCCTCCTTCGGAGACTGCGGAGCCGACCAGCGTCACGGATGGCACAGATCTGCGCTCTCTATGAAGAGCTGGTCCCCGATCCCCCCAGTCCAATCCAACCCCCTCCACCACACCAGCAGCCTCTGGACGTACAATTAACTCTGGACAACCTCAGAAAAAGGCGCACACCGGCATGCGAGCTCCATCAGGCAGCCGTGGCGAAACTTCATGAAAGACTTAAGGGGCAGCTCCTGGTATTCACGGACGGGTCCGTTCGGGACAGCCCCCATTCGGCCGCGGCTGCCTGCGTCATACCATCGACTGGGACAACCATCCGCTGCCGACTTCCCTTTCACGCCAGCTCCACTGCAGCTGAATTGGCCGGCCTTCACTTGGCAGCCGACCACCTTGCTGCCACGTTACCCCAGTTGCCTGTGGCGATTCTGTGCGACTCCCGACCAGCCCTACAAGCGCTGCTCCAACCAGACCAAGCAGGCATAACTGTGGCGTTGCTGCACGCAAAACTGACCGCCATCAAAGAGAGTGGTGTGCGTCTGTCCCTCCACTGGCTTCCCTCGCACGTTGGAATAGCTGGCAACGAGGAGGCTGACGCCGCCGCTAAGGCAGCACACCACTGCGACACGCCAGTCACTAAGGCGGTAACCCAGTCGGATTACTCACGGCAGCGACTGCGGAAGCTCTTACCAACGGCCCACCCTGACACACGGGTGGCAAGCGGCAAACCTCCACCATCCCTTCCGGAGACCGGCCTGGACAGATGCGAGCGGCGGTTGTTGCTTCGCCTGCGTACTGGCAGCGTCTGGCCTGCGGCACGCATGTATTCCGCGGGTCGCTCTTCATCGCCAGCGTGCCGAAGGTGCGGTGATGACGAAACGCTGCAGCATATTGTTTGCTCCTGCCCTGACCTGGCCACTGAGCGTTGCGCACTGGTAAGCCGCTATCGTCTGCTTGGACTACCTGCCGAAACAATGGAAGACATACTTTTTCCCGCGCGCTCGAAGACGAAAGCCCTTCGAGCCTTCCTCGAGTTCTGTGCTTGCGCGGACCTCGCCGCCTTATAGACGGACTCTTTTCACTCGCACTACTGACTGTACTGACAAGACGTTCTCTTGCCATGACATTCACTTTTTCTTTCCTTCCTCTCTTCTTCCTATCATCTTTACTTCCCCTTCCCCGATCCCTAAAGGCGCTGAGCCGTGCCCCCGCGACGGGAGGCAGAAAATAGCGTCCTTTTTGTCTCTTCCTCTTTCATTAATCTCTCTCTCTCTCTCTAGCCACCATAGTAGTGTTCTGTCAATGCCTCCTAGATTTCCTGTGCCTGCCGAATGAGCGCGAAACCCCGGTCATCTATGACGGCGCTGCCTACGTAGGAATAAGGATACAGCCGCATTCATTCATTCATTCATCCTAAGGTCTTTGTACTTGGCCTTTGAGATTTGCAACTTTGGCGTTTGTTACTAATTTTAGAGGATGCCTTGTATTAAAAAAGTTGCTTGCTAAATGACGGCGTCACTTACGTATAGTATTTTTTACTTACGTTTACGCCTTTTTAGAACTTTTTACGTTATTTTTGTTGCTTATAAACTTCAAAACGTAAAAACCTATTTGAAGACATCCCTACTTGAGTGGCGCCACCACCCTAGTTCCGACGACCGGCGCTTCTCAAGTTACCGCCGATAATCCGGCAGGCACAAGAGATCTAGGAGGCGTTGGTTCTGTGCCCCCGTGGTTCTGTGTGTGGCGTCGCCATGTGCGCCGCATGCGCCTGCGGCACCACAGAACACCTACCAGGCGGCACCAGCAGCACCGACGATGGCACGTATTCCGCAGTAGCAATGTGACGATGGATTTATACGAGCACCCAGCTGCCCATTGACGTCCGAAATTTCGTGACCTGTGTGCAAGGCCACAGTCAAGTAAGCGTCCATAGGGAGTGCCACGCCTCAGGGTGTGATTCATTTCTCTGTCTGGTTGATTTGGGAAGGCAGCGCCTATCAAGAGCAAGCAGGGAATACTGGCGAGATAGCGGAAACATGCTGATCGCCTGCTAAAGCATGCTACCTTTGAAAGCTACACTTGAGCAGCCCTACTGGGCTTTGTGATGACTGTCTTTACGTGGCGTGAAAATGGATTAATGAAACCGGGTATCTGCAGTCTCACTAAATTTTTAATGAGCGTCTCGTGCGCCGCTGCAAATGAATTAACGAATATAACGGTTTGTGTGACCAAAGTAGGTCGTCGTAGTGCTTGTGGTCCCTCGGCAACAGCATATGTTGTTCAGCAAAAGCGAAACTGATTGCGTACAATGCAGTGTGCGAATAGGCACTTAGTGGTGTGGATGCGCCCTGTCACGTTCACCAAGTTGACGGATGCGTGCCTTCACGCAAGGGCTCATCTCGCCGCTTAGCAGCTCTTGTTCTGACAAGTTGTGGAACAAACAACAAACTCAGCATTCATTCAGTTCCTGTAATGTATAGCCATACTATGAACAAACATATGCGATTGCAGTCACTTGCATAAAACTCGGTTAGGATATTATTACAAGCTGCTGTTGAACAGCAGCTAATCATCTCTGGGTTTTTACGTGATAGAACCGCGATAAGTTATTTATAGTTTCTTAACAGGCGTCTGAACCGGATTACGCGGCCTTCAGGCTCTCTGTCAAAATGCGACCGTCGCGGCCGAAACTGAACTTTTGAATCAGCAGTCGACCACTGCCACCCCAGTGGCCAAGCAGCAGCTCGTATGCCAGCATCTCTCTAATTCTTGCGAGACGCAGACAGGATGTGCAAACAAAAGATGGGAATCACGACACCGCGTTGTCCCGACTTCTTTCTTGTGTATGTATGTGCACGCACTCTATCTTAGATTGAGTATGCTTACCAACTAGCCCAGCTCTGTTGGGCTTCTTCTTAAATGCTAGTGGGAGTGCTTGTCTTTTCACGTGCCTGTACATGCTGCACTGTTTGTTGGGCTTCTTCTTAAATGCTAGTGGGAGTGCTTGTCTTTTCACGTGCCTGTACATGCTGCACTGTTAGGGGCCTTAAGGAGTCTGGTGCTACCAGTGCCATTGATGCATCTACAAAAATTTGTGCCTGGCTTATGCTGCGAAAGTGTTGCACAAAGATTAAGCTGGCCCATGCCATCGTCCCTGCTGTATATGTTGAGGACAACGCTGTTGGCCGTGAGATCGAGCAGAGTCACCGCCTGGTGGAAACTGGCTGAAGTGGTGAAGTGTGAATTGCTCCCTGCGTCGTCTGCTAGCGACGTCGCGTTTCTATGTGTGCGTGCACGTTCTGCACGTCATGCACGTTCTCAAAGTCTGGTTTGTCTGATCATGTCAGCGCGAGTGTAACTGCTTCTGCGTATGCCTTAAATGACGTACAAAATGATTCGATCTTGGTCTGCTGCTTATTGTCGCCGTACCCTCCAGTCACGAGAATAATTTCAGAGTGGGTGCCGCTTTCTGTTTTTAGCACATCGCAAAATGCTCTTGGTCTCCTCCCAAACATGAGGACTATTAAAAGATGTATTAATACAGCGTTTTATAGCGACTCAGCAAAAAAAAAAAAGAACGGGCTCTAGACCATGCACTTGCGTGCTGTTGATAGGTGTACAGCTACGCCACTGTAGTTTATCGATCATGCGAGAAGCCTTAGTTGTGTTTATCTGGCCATGGTGCCACTACATAGAAATATCACTATTACATAAACTGTGAGACTTCGGTGCTCACGCTGTACTTAAAACAGAGTACTCATGTGCAACTGTGTGCTTAGACTTAAAAACGCTTTAAAGAGCTCGACTATTTCAAATTGATACAGACGGCATGCCTTATATATTATGTCGTATAACTTAACTGAAAATTTCATTTTTTTTATATTGTCTTCCGTTTGTGTGGCATTGTTAGTTATAGATGGAAGGCAGTGGTAATTTTTTGTATGAAAAAAAAAAATCATGCTTTGTTCCATTAACCAGGCCTTTCTTGTAGCACTGCTATGCACGTAATTCATCAATGAAAGTTTTTTGCTGAACTCTTATGTAAAATTTTTATTATATATTTACTGGGACAAGAGCATGTGCGAACACATGGTAAATGCAGTGTAGCGCAAAGCGTCGTCAGCCACTAGGCTTTTCTGACAAGACTTATCGACTGTTCCACATTTCATGGTAAACAGCATGAGAGAAAGAAAAATCATATGTGTATAAGGTGCGAACGATGGTACTGAACTAATTGCACAGATATGGAAGCTTTCTACGATCTTTATTTCTCTCTTTTTTGTAGTATGCAGATGACAAAGATGTAAATAAGTAGTTCAGTCATGCTACAGCAGTGCGTAGCAGGCTAAACACAAGCTACTCTCGTACAAACAACACAGCAAAGGCGTGATTTAGTGTGAAAGCGTGAAGAGAGTCACACAGGGCGAGCATCCCTATCAAAGGCAGAATGCGCTTTACCAGCAGTTAATGGTAACGTTGTATAGGCTTCGTGCACTAATTCAGTAGAGAAAAGCGTAGATATTACCAGTGGACTGTAGACAGCGCACTTTATCTGCTGACAATCGGCTAAGAACGCATGCAACGAAGCGCTGCTCTGTGTATTTGTATACGCACTGCCAACCGACAATCCACACTTGCGCGGGAATGGTGCTGCCACCTACAGCCTGTTCTCGCCGCGAATAGTAACGTCTAAAAGGGCCATCTTAAATTAAAGGTGTTTGCTTATGCAGATACATAGGGTAGGGTAGCAACTGCACAAAAGCTTTTGTATTGGTGCTCTTCTTAAAAAAACAGGTCACTGACGAATGTCTAAACAAAACAAAGTTTCCGGGTCTCTTGTTCACAATGGAATGACAACTGCAGAGCAGGTTCTTTAGTGTTCTATGCATGACGCAAAGCCCACAAGTACGTTTGCTGCATTGCCCAAAAAGAAGTCCAGGAGTTTAAGTGGCTTTCCAGATAATCCATTGATTGTGTTACTTGTTGTCTATGTTGATGCATCAACATGACATGGCTTGTTGATGCGATGTGCCTGCAATGCAAAACAGCAGCCAGGTGGTGTCGAGGCCGATGCGCTGTGACACACCACCTAGGATGGAGGACGTGAACGACCGCGACAGCAGCGACGACGATGCACTGGCCGACATGGACGACATAGAAATTGTGGAAGTGTACGATGAAGTGGCCAGTGATTTCAGCGAAGAGGAAGGGGCTGCGGATGAGGTGGCCCCGCTGGACAACGCCGAGGTCTCCTTCGCAGCCCACCAGGGCTCGGCCTTCGTGTGCGCCGTGTCTGGTGATGGTCGGCATATCGTAACGGGAGGTGAGGACGACCGTGGTTGCGTCTGGCAGCTGGACACGGGCCAACTAGTGTTCGAGTGTGGCGGTCACACTGACTCGGTCACATGTGCCGCCTTCAACCACGATTCGACGTTGGTGGCCACAGCAGACATGGGTGGCTCCCTTCGAGTCTGGGCCGTGGAGAGCCATGAACAGCAGTGGGAATTTGACATTGGCATGGACCTCAACTGGATCGACTGGCACGGACAGGCGAACGTCCTGCTAGCTGGAACGGTGGAAGGCATGGTCTGGATGTGGCAGGTGAGTTTCGTGACGATTCGGAATGCCTTTGTCGACCAGGGTTAATACATTTTTCGATATCGCTATGCATGTTGCGCAGGCTATCTATTTTTCCTGCATAAGAATACACGAGGCATAGGCTAGCCGAGTAATGTGTATTCTGTGGTTGTGCCCAATACCTTCATTACGGCTTTTCACTGCTGCATTTGGGGCTGAAAGCATCGTGCTGCAATGGAGCTTGGGAAAATCAATGGCCCTAGGGTAATGCCCTTTTTATGCAGCCATGTTTTTGTGCAGAGCCACGCCTCCGTTCAATATGTGCCAGGCTATTTCAGGCAGAATGTCCCAGCCAAAACAGGAAGAAAGATTGTCGAGCTAGTTGAGCTGCAATCAGACTGATGTACTCGCTCAGCAAGGGACTACAGTCAGCTATAAGTTAAGCAATCTGGTGAGGTTACTTCCAGAAGACGAAAGTGCGATAGCTGATTACATCTGCAACTGAAGAAATGCTTGTGCACTTAACAATGCTCTCTCTAAAGACCACAGTGTGTGCCCGCTGGTGCAGGCCGCCTTTGAAGAGGAAACAGCGGGATACGTTGTATCTCACTATGAAGTTTGCTAAAGCACGTTGCTGGGCTAGTTGGTTTAAGTTCGTAATTCATATGATTGCAGCACAGCACGACACGCTGTGTGTGTGTCTCTTTTGTGTCCTTGTCGTGGTGCGCATTAGCCATATGACACTATAGTTGGCCTCCTTGTGAGGTGTATGCACTGTGAACAAACAGCTAACCACAACACTGTTGTACACCCTGTTCACACCATGCAACACCAGCCAGCCCAACGTGATTCCTGTTTGGCATCCTGAGTCAAGGCTTGCAGTATGGACTAAAAATAAATAGTGCTGTTTGCACTGAGGTGTAGGTCACAGCAGAGCTGGCTGGCCTCGCTCTTTTTTACCGCTTGCTCTGGTACATACAATGCGACTAGGGTGTCTTGATGCCTACATGCTCCGCTCAGGGTGAAGACAAGCACGTCATCTGCTATAACAGCTGCAATTTTGCCTCCCGCCGCGGCTGGGTAGCATGCGAAACTACAGGACACCCTTGCGGTGCACTGATACGTTTGACAACGCGTGTACGCTGGTATACTTTTTTATTTTTTGAAGCTTGGGTAGCCCCTAGTGCTGTTTTCGCCTGAATTTTTGTTAGGGAACAGTGTACTTCAAATTAAACTAACGGCCTGTGCATATGTTATGCCCTACAGATTGACGTATATATAGACTTAGTTGTATTTAAAACGAATCTTCTTCCTTCGGCCGCAAACGAAAGTTTCGATAAAGCCAAATGCTTATGTTTTTTTTTTTTCGTGAACTCTGCTGTCTACATACGCCAAAACTTACTTGAAGTGGTCATATACATGTCAGCAGCAGCGGTAGACGTACACCAGTGCGCAAGTTTCCGTGTGGCAAAGCAAGCCAAAAGTGGTTATGGTGGGTTCTCTTGCGAAGTGTAATAGAGACACTTTGCGCTTTTCAATAATTACAGAGCTTATTGGATGTTTTCTTCGAAACATGTATGTGTGTATAGTATATACACATGACTCGAAGAAAACGATTCATGGCAGACTTTTCTGAGGACCGACCGCCACTGGTTGCTTCACGGCAATCATAAACCAGTAGAAATAAAACCAACTGCGTAATGAAATAAAATTGGATGGGAATGCAACAACGAAGCACAGAAACAGTAAACAATAAAAAAAAGTATCTGAGAGAGCGCTAACTTGATCGTCATTCAAATATTTCCAACTTTGTCAAAAAATTTATTGCATCACTTTCCAGTCTTTGCACTTTTTTATTGAGAGCTTTAACAGTGTTCTTGGCAGTGTCATCATGTTGCTGAAGTTGAGTATACTTTCAAGAAAGGTCTGCAAGCTTCTTCTTCAGTTCTGCTGATTTTGCAGTAGCATTTGATGTTTCATCAGCCGAATCTTTGACTTCTCTCGATCTGCATCACTAGAGCTTGCTGACACTTTGCAAACTGTGATGCCAACTACTTTAATGGTGTTGTGTCTTTAAAGCGTCATTCCTTGCCATGATGATTCAATAACTGCACGACTTTGTAGAGCCTCTCGTGATGTTTCAACTGTAGCTGGAAGTTGATGCAGCCCCAGAGCAGTCTTGGCGATCTTTTTACTGAAGGGCAGAACACCGTCCTTTGCTTTAATGGTCTTCATTCTTTAGATTGCGCTGCAAGCATGAACATATTCAAGTAATGCCAATTTATGTCAAGCCTGTTGTTAGTTTCATAACGTGACCAATGCAGCTGGTACCGGCATCGTCAATAGCTGTCATTCACTTCGGGTGAGGCCTCGCCGATCATAACATCGGCGTGCGGCAGACTCGCAGGCCTGCAACGCCTGAAAGGCCTGCAAGTGGTACATTTCAAATTTATTTGCAGGCCGGTCGACCAGTATGGAATTGCACGCGTGGTTATGTTTGGGTCAACTGACGTACTCGCAGAGCAGACACGGACATTTCATTAAAAGCAGTCAAGCATTTAATTAAAACCAGGATGATGGCAAGGTGTTCACAGAAATTAACTAAAAGGATAAACACAAATACGGGCGATGAAAAGAACATCTACAAAACAAGGTATGCTCTAAACGAACAACTACAACAGGCACAAGCAGAATGTTAATAAAATAACAAGATAGAAATCCAAGGAGATACTAAGAAGAAACACGGCCGAACTGGAGTACGCGATGCGCGCTCTGTTTACGGCCTGTGCACGGGGGGCTGTTGCTGCCTGCCGCCGCAACTGTCCGGGGGCGCTGCGACCCTGGCCTTCACCTTTCCGCTCGCGGGGAGCCGCTGAGCCATTCACTCGAGAGAGCCTTGGCGCGCTCGTTGGTACGCGCATTTTGCTGAATGGCTACTCCTCTTAGAAAGTAGGTTTAGGAAGCATTTATTTTCATCCTATAGGCAAGAGAATTCTTTAGTACTTGAAAATGTAAAAAAAAAAAAAAAATATGGCACTTTTCTTTTTACGACAATAACAAAATCTGACACTAAAAAACATTTGAATGCATCCATTCAACCTGTTCTCATTGCACTAACCAGACTACACGAGACGAAAGCAGAACATTTTAGAACTCTTATAACATGACACATACTCTAAAGAACTAAAAGCCATAACAGGTGCACTACAATAAACTCTTAAAACACTGTTGTGAGGCTCAGTTCTAAGGATTGTCGTTTACAGCCTGAAATGCTTCCGTGTTGGCTTGTGGACGAAACCAGTTGGCTTGTCATTTTGGTCTGTTAATTTCCTTGCATAGTTGACGAGCAGAATTCGGAGAAACTTCAGATATCACGCGCGCTGACCTCTTTGCGTGACTCTTGTCAACACCCTCGGGGCAGTCTAAAAGAGGTGAATCTCCAAGATGTGGCTCGACGATTTGCTGCAAAGCTTTGAGGATTTTTGTTCGTGGGAGATGTTTGACTGCCTTTTCAAGAAACGTCACAATCATTTCCAGCGGTGATAGAAACTCTGGCTTTCAATAGTAAAGTTCACCTGTCTGTTGTGTACGCAGAAGCTTGTACAGATGACTGCTTGTATTGTTCGTCGTCTCAAGCATGACGCAAGCATCGCACCCCAGTTTACCGATGAGCTTTGCAATATAGCCACCTACGTACACCAAGCCCGAATAAGCAACAGAGGCCGGCGGGGTCGGTGAATGTTCTCGCAGTACTTCCAGTTCTTGAACTATTTGTTGAGGAACAGTTCTTGAACTATATGTTGAGGAACAGATGCGACCGCTTCTTTGATGTATTTGCGTTGCTCGTTTGTTTCTCTCGACGGCAGCGCCTTTTTCTTTACGATGTGATCCAAAGCCGCTGTCACGGCTCTTGCGTCCAGCGCGTCGTTCTGCCCACACATAAACCTCAATTTTCCGAACAGTGCCTAGACGGGATCGCTGTTGAATTTCCTGGTCAGAACGTAGTTGACTCCACTCCTCAGCAGAAATTGGTCTGTTTCCACTGTGGATCTTGTGCTGAAAAGCAGGGCATTGTACGTTTCATCTGTGAAGCTTCCAACATGAGCGGCGATTGAACTGTCTTGGATGTTCTTGATGTAGCTACAAAACTCATTTTGGAGCCACAGTAGTCGGCCGTCGTCCTCCTTGGAGATGGGCATTTTGCAGTCACTTCCTCTGAGTGTAGTGTCGTGGATGTCGAATCATTTTTTCATAACTTTCATGAAGTTGATTGTAGATGTTGCGTCCTTGAAAGCAAAGAGAGCTGAGTTGCCTTGCCGGTTCTTTTGCAGATGTTACAGCGCCACAATGACTTGAGGTGACAACACCTGCACAGCTCGCAGCACGTTCATCTTTTCAAGGTTAGACGGGTATACGTGTTTTCTTGTCAAGGCCGACAAGAAAACACGTATACCCCGTCGAGGCCGACTTGTCATTAATAACAAGATTTTCCCAGGAAATCTGTTTTCACCATTTCGCGCACAGTTCCTCGTCAACTGGAAACTGGTGGAACGACACACCTGGAGTCTTTCCGGACCGCGATTTGCAAAACGACACGCAGCAGTACACCATAGCTACGTTAGCGGAATCCTGACATGCGAAGCACGGGATCCCAAGGCAGTCCCTTCAGAAGTTCGCGAACATGCATGAAAGGTCCGGTGCAGAAACTTACGGTGTAATGTCACTTGATGCAAGGCGCGCGAAGTGTACGGCAGGTGTGCAGGCCAGTTCACGCGATGAAGCTTTTGTTCACTCGTTTAAACACCGTGATTAAGCCAGCACCTGTAAACATGTGCCCGTGCACACACTTACCAGCCCGAACCAAGCCGCAGCAAAGCGCGCGCGTAGAGAGCGCGTTCTCCAGAACGGTCGGGGCAAGGGTATGCTCGCAGTGCCATCTCTCAGAGATCGGCGCTCAGAAGCTCAGAAAAAAATGCTTTGCCCTCGCTGCGCCTGCTCAGGCCATAAAGGGAGAGTGCGCGCGCGCGTACTCCAGTCCGGCCGTGGAAGAAATTACAAACAAGTCAAGCTTGTGCTTCTGAGTTACTACATATGACGCAGCGCACTCTAAAACAATTATTAAAAAGCTGGGGATAATGAAATAACAACTAAAAAACACAATAAAATGTTCCATACGGACCAGTGCAGCCCATGGCTCACGTAAGGGGTTTAAGGGATTTGACGGGGTGCAGCTGATGGTCTCGCCAGCTTAGGCAGATGACGAGGGTGCTCGGTGTTACAGCCGTCTCGATACGTTGCTCGGGACACTTCATGCTCATGACACCGATGACAGCGCTTCTCGCTGGTTGAACGTCAAATGAGTCAAAATCTCTTCGGGTCGTACGCACCCCACTTGCGGTAATTTTCCACGAACACATACGTGCCGCCCTCGCTGCAGCTGTAGAGAAGATGCAGCGGCGCCATTGACGAGTCGTTAGTGCCCAGAAGTCTCTTCCCGACACAAAAGTGAAGGTGCGCGCTGGTGAGAATTCGAGACGCTTGTGACAATAGGGCTATGCTACAGCTAGTGCGACAGGTCAAAAATGCCTAGAAACCTCGAAATGCACTTGTACTTTTTTTCAATGTATCAATTAATTCGGGCACATTCTAAAGTTACATTGGTTTTAATCTTATAGAAGTTTCATGTTCATACAATGCCTGCATTGGATACTGCTTTATGTCATCCAAGAGCTAAGTTGACTTGTGTCTTAAGCTTTGACGTATGTCTGAACGTGAACAAAGTTGGGACTGCATTCGATTTAAAGTTTTTACAGCCATCTGCACGCTTTTGCTCGTAGTTGTTCGGTTGAAAATGAGCGTGCAAAGAAGATTTGAATGGTATGTTGACAGTCTGGTATGACGAAAACGACTGCCTGTCGTTGTGACTGAACCTGTACTTGTGTATGCAGTATTGTTCATGGCATGAGCTATAGCAGTGACTTGGACAAAAGATATGAAAAGAGCCGAGTTCACATCAGGCGCACAGCCAGGACATTTTTCGGGGGGGGGGGGGGGGGGGCTCTTGCTGAAGGCCTTGACTATTTCAGAAATACCCTTGTAATTTATTTTCGGTAAAACGCCCCTCCATCAAAATATCGACTGGGGGACGAAGGGCACCTCCTTCCCCTCCCCACTCCTTCCCTTTTGTGGGCATGAACCTAGCCTGATGCTATGGTTAGGCTTTGAAGTTTTGCAAGGAAAATTCATGCAAATAAACAGATATCGGACAAAGGACTAGGTTTATCAAATGCAATAATCAGAATTTGTCCATCAAAAACTTCGTACCCAAGGCTCTAAATTCTTAATACTGTGGAGTTCAATTATTGCGTAAAAATAACACAACATAGCGCTTCCTTTGTTAGCCAGGTAAAAGCCGTCGCTGCACAAGTGCACAGACGGCGATACAATAAAGCAGGCACAGTACCAGTCTCACAACATTACGCATGTCTCATTTTCGCAGTAACAGCATAAGTTTTGTATCCAATCGCAGTGATTTTGGTAGACACTCTCAAATGTTAGTTAATTCGGGGAACTTGTGCACAAATAAATAAGCACAGCAACCTGAGTAAAGTTTCTCTACCCAAACACACGGCTATATAACATGTAGCAATACTTCGGAATGTATAAGTGTACTCGGAGCTCTTTGATCAATACAAAATGCCAAGGGGGGTGCTTTTATATTCCATAAATCCACTAGCCTTCAATTTGATGAATTTTCTTGGAGCAAAGTAATCCACCAAATGACTCCTGTACTCTCAGAATGCTGTGGACAGTACGCTGCCCAGTGTCTGACTACCCGGCGTTTGTGTACGCTCTCAACAAAGAAATACAGTGCCAGATAACGTTGGCTTAACAAATTATCATGCATTCTTACAAAGAAAACACCAGAAAGTGTTTAGTTATGCTGCAAATGTATGATGTGTTTTGGATGTCACTTGTCATGCTTGAACTGTACGGTCTAAAGAAGTCGTCTTTTAGGGCCTCTTGGAAATCGGTACAACTTGCAGCCATTCCTAGAATGACTGCTGCACTGTGGCACGCAACACCCGGGCATGGTGATGGCAGTGAGCACATATAACAGCAGAAACGCGAGCACTGCCAAAAAAAAAAAAAAAAACCACACGCATGCCATGCAGGAGTGACCTGTCTGAGGAGTCAAAATGGCAACCACGCTGCCTCCAAGGCAGGGAAAGTGGCACCTGCCCTTCGGAAAGCTGACATCACTCTAGCGGGGATGCGCACACCGAGGTACTCTATATGTGACTAGTTGGTCGTGCCACCTAGCCTGTGATTCATATGAAATGAAGAACATTAGAACACAGGCAATTTGCTGTCATCAAGCAGAACTGTGTGTTTTCTTTCTTGCTGGCTATGCGCTGAGAATTTAATGTTTTGTGACGAGGATGAAATAGGGACCCATGCCGCCATGCTACCGGATGGCCCATAGTAATCTCTGAAAAAACAAATCCCTTTGCCAAAAACAGATGTAGAATTAAGATGAAAATTCCTGGGAAATTTGTTTGTTCAGGCCTCCAGTGTCTGCACAGGCTCCTGAGTTTCCCCGGTTCTGAGTTAAGTAGGATGGACCGAAACTCCGGAACGAGATTTTCAGGATTTTGTAGTGTGTGTATATTTAGGTATGTAGACGAGTTTTTTTTATAGGGTGATACTAAATGGTAAGGTGAACATTCTCAAAGCGCTTATGGGCTATGGTCTTCAGTTCACATGGGAAGTTCCCAATCAAAAAAAAAAAAGCTTCAGTTTCTTAGCCGTACTTTGCCATTTCAAGATGCGTATGCCTGTTGGATCAATGCTCCTAGATCAGTGAAGCCCCTCCTTAACATTACACCTGACCATTCAATACTGGTTGAAAATGGTATTGTCACATCATGTCGGTACTCGGCTGTCTCAAAATCTTGTTTTCCTGCCACAGAGGAAGTCTTCCGAAATCAGTGGGATTGCCTTAGACGGTGGGTTTTCTTACTGCCTTTCTGGTTTCTGCATATGAGCGTTCATTAAGGAGAATGAAAAGTAATGTTCAGTCTGCCAACCAGCCAGCAGTTAACTTCTCAATGTGAGCGAAAGCCTTTTGCAGTGATTCCCTGTGTACATTTCATTGCACATAGATTAAAGAAACTTGGGGTTGACGTTGTTTTTTCGGGTGGAAATAAATTGGGCCGTCTAGGTGGCAGAAACGAAAGACATGCAGGGGTTCAAAGTCTGTTGATAATGCTAGCTCAATCAAGCATGTTAACAAGTGCACCGCATGTTCTACCGGGGCTAGTATATAAAATATCTTGCATGTGTGCCAGTGTCTACATTGGACAGACTGCCAGATGTGTCAATATCAGGCTGCGAGGGCATGACAGTTCCTTGAAGAATGGAATTTTGCCTCACCTTGCCAGCCATTGGCGTAATTGCAATCATACACCTTTCTTTGCGGTGACTGCGATCATCGATTGCCATCATAGTCAACGTACACGTGAGAAAGCTGAGGCATATATACCACGTGGTGAAGTGCGTTGACAATTGTATTAGCTGGCCATCTGTTGCATTAGCAGAACAAGAAATCTGTTTCATTCATCTGGTGTGGCGCATGGTTTTCTGTGTGACCTCTTTAAAATAAATTTTCAGTTGTTAGGCCAGCACTTGTCCTGTTCCCTCTGTTTTTTTTTTATGGAAATAGAAAATAAACAAAGGAGTCGTCACCGTTACTTGGCGATGGCTACCACTTCCCACTTGATTGTTAAAAATAAAGAATTAAAAAAATAGCATATATACATATACAACCCTACATAGGTGGGTACAAAAGTTCTCATATGGGCAGAACAAACACGTAGCTGCCACGCTCGCTTTTAACTATAGTGCTTCTTTTGTGTTAACTATGGCCTTCTTCTGTGTTTTCAATTTGTGCTGTACCGATGATGAATTTGTAATCTCCACAAAGGCTACCATCCTTGTTTAACACAGGGACAATTGGTCCTGCCGATTTAGATGAAGTGACTGGTTTTAAGATGTCTTGTCGCTTCAAAAGTTCTTCACAGATCTTGTCTAAAACTGCAAAAGAAGCTGCATGGGCCGTGAAGAAGCGTGGCTTTCTTTCCTTAAAGCAAAATGCATAGGTGTGATGGGAATCAATTGGACGAACACACAAAAAGAACAGAGTAAGTGAAAATGAACATCCTGTGTTTGTACAGCTGTGCACCAACTTGCTCAAGAAGAAGTTCTTCTAAAATGCATGTGGTAAACTGCCCTACTGCTGTTTGTTTCTCATCAATCACATGCTAGGTGGTGCCATCTACCATATGTAACAAGTTAGTAAGGGTTCAGTTTTTCTTGTTGTACAGAGTGAGCAAGAGCCGGCTCATGATGATAATATACCAGCTCCGTTGTAAACAGCACTGCAGTCGTCCCTTTGTTTCCCGGTAAGACATTATCCAGAAGAAAGAAAGGTGTGCCCTTCAAAATCTGCTTTTCTCGGAGGAGCATTCAGTGAATGCTTTCCTGTGTTGCACTGTAACGACAGGTTCCCGGTGGCCACTGCAAAAACCTGGTTGGCCCGGGTACCTCGTGCGGTGCTGGGCGCTTCCTGTCCGACGGCAGACGGGCAGCGGTCGGCTACGACGATGGCTCTGTGCGTGTCTGGGACCTGAAAGGGGTTGCCGTAGCACACAGCCTGACGGGAGCCGGCCAGGCACACCCAGGGGGCCCAGTCACGTGCCTGGACGTGGCCGGCGAGCTCGTGGCATCGGCGGCGACCGACGTGCGACTGCTGCACGCCAGCACGGGGAGGCTCCTTGCGGCCTTTACTCTCAACAATTCTGCCGGTGAGCTCATCAACAGACCGGGAAATACTGAATGCATATTGTGCTGCTAATGAACACGCATACTAAAGAAGGCGACGAGGATAACACCGCTGGCAGCTGGTGCCTTCTTCTTTTGTAGGCATGTTTATTAGTAGCAAAATATGTATTCAGCACCCTACCTACTAGGCCAAGATCTCAAGCATGCGACTGGGAAATGTCTGACAAGTTCCACTCGCTAAAATATCGCCATAAAGAGTGAGCGAGGGACACTAGGGACTGACGAGGGCTGGAGCTGTACCCGCCATTTACGCAACAATGAAAATGTGCCTTGCTTTAGTTTTAAGCATCGATCAACAAACTCAGACTCGGACCAAGATGCAAGTCAGATATAGTTTGATGAGTGGGAGTTCAAGTGGCCGAGAAAAATTTTGTTTAGTCTTAAGTTTGAGTGAAGCTTAAAATGTATTTTGCGAGTGAATCTGAGTGAGCTCCGCATTATCGTCGACCTATAGGTTTAAGTGCTCATCATTTTAGATTACAAGGTAAAAGGCACGAAAAAGACTACGGTTGAGATGAGGGACACATTCATACACAGACCGGACACTCGGTTGTTCACCCCAACGTATCATTTTAGGGGCCTGGCTTGTTGTCCATTCATACGTCCTGTGTATCAAATGATCAAGAGGCCCAAAGCAAGGTGGGGGATGCTCAAAACTGGATTAAAATTATAGAATGAGGTAATTAACAGAAATAACCAACAGGTTATCACAATAATTAACTTAATAGTATCACTAATAAAAGCATCTTATAAATATGGCTGACTCCAGCTCCTTGCAAGAGAGTGTGCCACCACCTCGCTAAGCAAGGGCTTTCCAACGTCATGCTCTGATAAAGTGATTTCTTCTCCCATCAGTGCTTCACCAATGCGAAGTGGTTACATCTCAAGGGGGAAACAAACTTTACGACTCGCACTTAAAAAGTGCAAAAGAAACGCAGAGGTGAAGACGTGCAGGACAGGTGCCTTCTAACAACTAGTCTTATTAATTGAGGCTTTTTATCGGAGCAGAAATACACTAGGTACTTGAGCAACATCAGCTCACATAGCCAAACACAAAAAATTTCTAGTCACAGAAAAGCATGTAGTAGTGATGTCTCTTTGTCTGGTATAGAAATGGAGGTAAGATATTTTTACTGTCAAATTGAAAATGCTTCTACGATTTCCCTAGATGTCTGCTTATAATGGTTGAAAAAAAGGTGAATCTTCTACGATTTTCCTAGATGTCTGCTTATAATGGTTGAAAAAAAGGTGTTATCAACGCGGGAGCTGCAGTCCCATTTGTTGCAGTGAAGGACGAGGTGTGTGCTAGGACGTCCTTTCAAACTGGTCTTGTGTTCTCCTAATTTGGGTTCACGCACCTGCCAGTCTGTCTCACATACATGTGCCCGCACATCATTGGTATCCTGATGGAACTGATGAAATCTGATGGAACTCAACCTCCGTAGTAAGCAGGAGGTCAATAAAGTGCGGTAAAAAGTGGCACACATGTCATCTACCGAGTCTCCTCAGCAGGATGCGACTCATGCCGGGAAACCTTGAAGCCTACCTCAAACCTTGGCGTTATCAACAATTTGGGAATTCTGCGAATGAGAATTGCTGGGAACCACTGCAGCAAGATACCGGCGGTGAGGGAATCACTTGAGCAGCCTTGCACAGCGCAGCACTTCGTGCCATGTTCACTGTCACCCACCAGCCGTGCAGTCTGTCATATGCCTTTGTGAGCTAGCTCAGCCTCTCTGGAATGACACACCAGTAAGTAAAGCACATACAGAAAAACAACATGCAGGGGATGCATGTAAAACCACTGCACATAGCTGACTGTATTCCAAGAAAAGGCAAACGTGCAGGGGGGGGGGGGGGACAAAAAGTTAGGTGGGCTGATGAGATTCAAGAAGTTGGCAAGTACAACGTGGCAGCAGCAAGCACAGGATGACTGATTGACGAAACATGGGAGAGGCCTTTGCCCTGCAGTGGGCGTAGTCAGGCTGATGATGATGATGTTTCCTCTGACATTGATTTTTTCAGAGATAACAGTGCTATCGCTCTTGAAATCTCAGATAATTTTGATAACAAGTTCCTGCAAGCTGATGTTAATGTCATCTTAAACTGGTGTGATTTGTGACATATTGTATTTACACGGCTGTAAGTTGACTTGAATGCTCGTTGTTCCTGCTAAAATTGGCGCATAAAAAAATGAAGGTGTGAGCTCATTTCATGGAGAAGAGAGAGAGAGAGAGAAGGAATGTAGGAAAGGTAGGGAGGTTAACTAGACTATGCGTCCAGTTTGCTACCCTACACATGGGGAGGGGGAGAGGGGAGTAAAAGAGAGAGAGAAGGATAGACACATGTCACATCACACACACACAATGCCGAGTTTCACAGGCGGTCCCTCAATGAAGTTGTTCACAAGTATCTCAGGAGGGCTCGTGTGGCTTTCTGTGCTGATGTGCTGCGCGACCAGGCTCCTAAGATCTTTGCTTCATTAAATGGCCGGTCATCGAGTCTATTCAAGGCATACTGGAGAGTCCGGCGATCTTCATCAAATTGGGCACAGTCGCACAAGAGATGTTCAATAGTCTCTATACAGTTGCAGCTTTCACACATGGATGAATCCGCCATGCCAATGCGATGGCTGAATGACTTAGTAAACGCTACCCCAGTCCACAGCCGGCACAGCATTGTAGCGTCACGTCGAGAAATCTTGGATGGCAGTTGTTTCTGAAGTAATGACTTCAGATTCTTAGGGCGTTTATTGGAGTTAGGTGAAGAATTCCAGTGCGCAAGCATGGCATTATGCGCGATGTGACGAAGTTCTCTAGCTGCGTCTACTCTTGACAAGGGTTAATTATTAACAGTGTGGGCGCTCCATCGTGGGCGCATCGGGCAGCGTCATCGGCGAGGTGGTTACCACTGATGCCACAGTGGCCCGGCAACCATTGTAAAACAATGTTGTGTCCTTGATCAGCAGCGCGATGACAAATTTCATTAAGGGGGGAGGCTACCATCGGATACCAACTTTTTTGTTTATTGAGATATCTCAATGAAATTTTCAGGATAGACTTATAGCAAAAGCATTAGAAGAACTACAAAATTTCATCAAGTTATGTTCACTGGTTTTCAAGTTACAGCAGAATATCAGGGTAGTGCACATGGTTCTCTTATTCCAGGCCTGGAGAACTTTCAAAAGGTGCTGGAACTGTGAAATTAACTATGATGATTCCCAGATTGATACTCCAGGGGGTAACAGAGCCCTTTTTTTGAATTTACTTGCTGAAAAGTTTTAGCAGACCATCAAACTTTGTGTTCGTGATTAGGATATGATCAATCAAATTTTGATTAAATATAATAAATAACACACACAATATATTGAAAAAATGGGCTTGTCACCCCCTCAGAAATTTATTCATGTACATAATAAAAAAAGACTTATGGAAATCCAATGAGTGGTTCCAGAGATATGGCTGGAATAAGCAGCCTCACTAGCCAAAAAAGTCATTTTGAGACAACGACGTTTGAAAGTTTTGAGCACATAGGCAGTTCTAAAATGAACCTGCAGCGTAACTGGAGGTGTCCTTTGGCACTCTCTTTCTTTGCCGCCTTTCCATCTTCTCTGGGGATCGCTTCTTAGCCTTTTTCAAGCGCAGAGAATCTTTCTCGGCTGCCCGTTGAATGGCCAGGTGGCCAGGTGTTAGCCCCAAGTTCTCTTTGCACAGCAGCGCGTTGTTGATCCGCCGCCTCTTTCTCCTCGCACACGAGGCCGATGAAAGAGAAGATGCGGAAGCCACTGTCGATGAGCATGAGACACCAGGCGCACTTGTAACGACAAATTCTTGCACCGGCGGAGCAGGAGTCCCGTTGCTAGGCGCGTCGATGCGACCACTCTCTTGCGTAGATGAAGCAGAAGCTGCCCCACAGGTACCGTCGGCGCGATCACCGTCGGCGCACGTGCGAGCGGAGAGCCTCGCCGCGCGGACAAGCTTCATAGCTCGCTTCCTTGCACCGAACGATTGTAGCGTCTTCTTTTTCGTTGGGCGCATCGTGAGCGAACACAACAACGGTCTCGTATAGACGGTTGAAAATCGTTTCGTAAAGACGGTTGAAAATCGTTTCGAAGACAGTTGAAACGTGGAGAGTATGCGAACGGCTGCAACGATACACGGAAGCGAGCGGAACACAAAGACGCCGGACGGAGGAGCAGCAGACGAGCGGCCGCATTATGCGCAAGAGCGCTAGGTCATCGCGCGCAGCAGCCAATGGCAGTCGCGGGCTCCCCCGCATCCTTGGGGAGCGCGCGCTTCGCCCAATCCCAGCTGCGCGCCTCAGCCGCGGGAAACTTGAAAGCTCTCGCGAGCCCTCCAATCATGAGCGGCTTGCTCCTCTCCTGCGCTGCCGCCGGCGACGCAGGTGGCGGGGAAAGAAAGAGCAAGAATTCACAAACAAAACAACACCAAAATGGCGGCGCTCCGTCGAGCGGTCGAGAAACTGCGATCACGCCAAGTTGGGGTATTTTGAGCGCTCGCGCGCCGCTCGAGGGCCGCCGCGGCATGTTCTAAACTTTATTTTAAATGGTTTCGCGACGAATTAGACGTTGATATTTACAGAAAAGGTAGTTTATGACACATACTGCCCGAATATGTGGTTTGCCAAAAATCGACTTTTTCGCCATTTTTCGGTTTTCAAAGGCCGCGTCCCTCCTTAATACGATACACCATCTGGTGGTAGTTTTCACGTCATAGACTTCGCACGAATTGAAGGGCTGCCTTGGAGTCACAGAAAATGGCCCATCTACTAGGGGATTCTTGCGTAACAAACTCCACGGCAGCTCGAAGAGCGGCGAGCTCGGATCTCGTAGATGTCGTGACGTGTGATGTCTTGAATTTGACGGTGATTGATCGAGATGGTATGACAAAGGCACCTGTCGAACTTCCCGAGACCGAACCGTCCGTGTAAACATGAATTCAGT